CACTTTGGACAGAGCCACCCCTGGGCTGGTGGTCCTGGAAGCTACAAGAAAGCAGGCCAGACAAGTCATGGGGAGCAAGCAGGTACATAGCAGCATCCCTCCATGGCCTCTGAATCAATTCCAATCCCAGATTCCTATCCTGCTTGAGTTACTCCCTCTGACTTCCCTCATTGAGGGACTGTGATGTAGAAGGGTTAACAAAATAAACTTTTCCTTCTTATGTTGCTTTTGGTCATGTTGGGTTTTTTTTTGTTTTGTTTTGTTTTGTTTTTGTTTTGTTTTTTTGAGATGGTTCCTTTTTGTATCCTTGGCTGTCCTGGAACTAGCTCTCTAGCTCTTGAATTGACAGAGACCCACTTTATCTCAGCAATAGAAACCCTAAAACACCTTGTAAGTTTTTTTTTTTTAATCTCCATCATTGTATTAGAAAACAACAGACTGTCAATGTGGATGAAAACTACTGAGTGTAGATAAAGTTACAAATCTGCAAAGGAAGGAAGAGTAAGTCTCTGATAATGTACTCCTCAAAGCAATTGTGCTGCTATGTGATACACAGCCATAATTAGGGAAGGCAGGTGGAGGGTGTAACTTGAGGTGGTGAGACTTAGAGCTGCAAAGAAGGTGAGAACGGGTGATTTGCAAATAAATGGGAGGGAGTTTTTAGCTGATAACATTTCATTTGGCAACTGAGATACTCATCTGTTGAAAGTTGAGACAGGTATGTGATCAGTGACTAGAGAGGGACAGACTGGTTAGCCCCTGGGCTGGTGGTCCTGGAAGCTATAAGAAAGCAGGCCAGACAAGTCATGGAGAGCATGACAGAGTGCAAGCAGACGTGGTGCTGGAGTAGCTGGCTGGCAACAGGAAGTTGACTGACCGTCATACCTAGGGAAGCTTGAGCAAAAGAGACCCCCCCTGAAGCCCACCCCCATGATGATGCACTTCCCCCAACAAGGCCACACCTCCTAATAGAGCCACTCCCTTTGGGTGCCATTTTCTTTCAAACCACCACAGCAGCCGAATGTCAGTATGTGAGAACATTTCCCAGCACACCCCCTTCACAAGGTGGAGGGAGAAGAGTGTCATTTTACTGTGGCTTACTTCAACAATTCAACATGTGGAGGCTTTCTAAGTATAAGACTATGTCTTTGAAGAACAAGGATGAATTAAAATGGACCAGATGCTGCATGTATACTCAGAAAAATAAAACAGGCCTGCCAGGACTCTGTGCCATAACAAGTCCAGAAAAAGGGAAGGCTTTCTGAAGAGGGAATATGTAAGATGGCCTAGGACAGTGGTTCTCAACCTTCCTAATGCTGCCACCCTTTAATACACTTCTTTATGTGTGGTGACCCCCAACCATGAAACTGTTTTCCTTGCTACCTCATAGCTGCAATTTTGCTGCTGTTGTGACTTGTACTGTAAATTTCTGCTATTCAGGGTACCTGATACGTCACGTATCAAATATCTCCACAGGTTGAGAACCACAGATATTTAAGTGGATGCTGTTGGTAGATGGGGTAGGGAGGTGGGCAGGATAAGGAGAGTAGACTTTATTCATAATTGAAAGTTGCCCATTATGTAGCCATCAATAAAAATTATTTCAGTTTGTTTTCAGCACCGAGGATAAAACTCAGCCTTCTGAAACCACCAAATTCTAAGCAGAGAAGGGGGTGGGGTGGGAGAGGGGAGTAGGGAAGGAGGGAAAAAGAGAAGGAGGGAAGGAAGGAGAGAAGGGGAGGGAGGGAGTGTACGTTCTGCAAACCTAGAAGGTGTCCGGAACTCCCCATGTATACATTTTAGCACCTCCTTGTCCTCACGCTTGGAGGCATCTGTTTATACGAGGGCACAAGGAGAAGGAAGACAGTAATCAGCTAGACAGTAAAACTTTGAGGAGAGAGAATTTGAACTAAGTGCAATGGAATGGCCCGTGTTCCCCAAAACAGCCCTGGGTCCCACTACCCCACCCCTACCCCAGCTTGTGAAATTCCATACCTTGTCATTTGTTTCACACTGCTACAGCAAACCCAACAGCAGGATCTGGGACTTTGACCTCCAAGTTTGTATCATGTGTGCTGCCTACCACTTCAGACCAGTCGTGTTCATCTTTTTCTCTAGAAGGGTCTAGTCATGTGGCTTCAACCTACTTTCCATCAAGCAACTTTGTAGGTGTTGTTGGCACTCAGTTAATGACTAGGCATTGATTAATCATTGTTATGGCTGCTTTGAACATTATAGATTTTTTAATTTTTTTATTTTTTATTTTTTGGCCAGCATTGGCGTCTGATCTCTAAAGGCCAATGGCCTTTTAAAGAAATGCCTCCACTTCCAAGCGACTCTCAAGGGTATGGCATGGCTGTGCTTCACTGTACCCATCCCATTCCCAGGCTGAGAGGCATGTGTGTAAGTGACTTTTTAGTTTAAATTTATTTATATTTTATGTGTATGGGTGTTTTTCTGCATATATGCATGAATATCATGTGTGCCTGGTATCCACAGAAGCCAGAGGAGAGTATTGGGTCTCTTGGAACTGGAATAGCAGACCAGTGCTGGGAACTGAACCCAGGTACTCTGTAAAAACAGTAAATGTCCCTAACTGCTAAGCCATCTCTCCGACACTCCCAATCTTTTAGTACAAAACAGACTACACCACCTCCATTTAAAACCATTAGTGTTTTCCTTTTGGACTGACACTCTAAATTCTTCATGGGGATATCAGGGCTACTTGTGGCCTGGCTCTGGTCACTCCAGTCCCTTCTCTATCTTCAGCCCATCCTCTCTCTTGTTCTTTACCACACCAATCTATGGTCTGCCACTGAGTCCCTGCGCCTGCTGTTCTGGCCCAGAATGCTCCTTCCTTTTATGTCTTAGCCGGTTTTCCAACCAGGAAGGTTGGGTTGATGCAAGGCTGTTGGTGGCCGTGTTGAAGAGAGTAGAGGCAAGGAGAGAGAGAGAGAGACATGGTTAATAGGTAGGGTAAGACTTGTGACACCTTTTGAACTGCTGGATCTCACTGTTTCTTGGGCAAGAGCAACACAATGTGTATCATTCTCCTTTTTACTTAATTTGGGCTGCACACTCGCCACCCACTCTGGGAACCTCTAATCCTCAATATAGGCTCTCAAAGCCACCCTGTGTGTAGCAAGAGGGGGAAGGGGGTAAATCTTCTGCAGTCCTGTGAGATAAGGGCCTCTTTGGAATTCTTCTTCAAAGAAAGACCAGAATTCCCACCTGTTAGCGTCCATCATCATGGTTTATAACCCCATTCTTCTTGTTTCCCTAATGATACTTGGAACAGTTTTTCTTAGATGAGAAACCGTTCTTCCCATTGCTTACTTTTTCAGATGATACTTGGGCTCTTGTACCCCTCATAATCTGCTTGACAGTGGGACCTTATCTGCCCTCTATTTCCTCATCATGTCCCATTAAACAACATTTGACATTTAAATTTCCCCTTCCAGCACAAGCACAAGCCAGTGGTGACTGTAACCTGCCAGTCATCAACTAAACAGTGGCTTTTCTCAGTCCTTATGCTCAGTCCATGCTCTCCCTACAGTACCCAGCACAGCTGCCCATGTCCTCTTCATGCTTCTGTGACCCCTGTGATTTTCTTGCTTTTCTGGACAATCCTTTCTCTGTAATGTTGACAAGACTTTGAGGCAGGTGACATGGCAAGTAGCAATACCTGACTCAGTCTTCTTGGTTCAGTGTAGCCACTCAAATGGGTGTTACATATTAAAACTCTGCCTGGAAAGGCCCAGGAGTGAGGTATCATAGTGACTTAATGAAAACAAAAACTGACACTGCCTAAGAGTCACGCTACATGAGGACTACATATCCCATCATGCCATCTGGTTCCTGAGAATGTCTACAGACATTTACAGGTCATCTTCCCAGACTTCCTGTAACTATTCTGACAGCAGACCTCTTACTCTGGTGTTAAGTAGGTGAACTAGAAAGACCAGCCACTGCCCATCATAGGATGAAGCACATGCAGCACACACACGTAGGTCTCTTTGGAGTTGGGTCTCTTTGTAGCTTCTGTGTGGTCACTGGGAGTTGAGATTAGGTTACTGGGCTTGCACAGGGATCACCATCACCACAGCCTAATCAGGAGGGTCTTTAAACATGTGCATTGAACAAATCCAATGAAAGTGAGATTCCTGCGTCAATTACCAATCCCTCCTTACCTGAAGAGTTGGGAAAAGTCAATTTTGTCTTTTCAAAGTGTAGGCACTGGGTCCTCCTTTAGAATGTCTTTGGGCTGGATAGCACATGCCTTTAATCTCAGCATTTGGGAGGCAGAGGCAGGCAGATCTCTGTGAGCTTGAGGCCAGCCTGGTCTACAGAATGAGTTCCAGAATAGCCAGCTACACAGAGAAACCCTGTCCCAAAAAATAAATAAATAAATAACAAAACAAGGATAATTTTGGTCCTCCATCAGTGAATAGAATTGTTTTCTCATGAGGAGAGGTCATCTCCCTGGGCTTCAAGCACATCTTGGCCTCATACTTTCCTGGTTATTGCAACCCAGCAGATTTTTCTCCTGCTTATCTTCTCACGTAGGTAAAGCAACACTGGTGTGCTTGTTGGACTGACCACACACAAGGAGATTGGGAGGAAGTAGACCATGATTTTGACCACATTTTGCCTCAGAACCTTCTTATTTAAGACAGGTCCTTCAGGCGCTTTTATTTATGGGTAGATATAAGATTGGCAAGAGCACCTTTCAAAGTCGCAGTTGCGACTGTTTTTTATGAAGTCAGTGAGAAGGCAGAGGAACGATGGCAATAGTTTGTCTTCATAACAGTGGCAGTGCTGTTGCTGGCTGTGTGCCTTTCCTCAAGTATGGCATCCCTTCTCTGCCCCTGTTCTCTGAGGAATGAGGAGAAACTCGGAATTCAAGCTGTCAGGTGATACTTGTTTTGTCAATGGACAAGCTCCCCAGCTTCATGTCCAGTCTTGGACAAAATGGCAGCTATGTCTTCTCTGCCAAACCTCACTTCAAGTCTAGCCTAGATCTTGAAGTGTCTCCCCTGCCTGGGCACAGGGGGGCCACTGGACCAGCAGCACCCACAGTGCCAGGCTGGACCACCTTAGGTGAACCAACAGCTTCTCCTGAGGCTGATTCCACTGAGGCCACAGGTGAGAAGGCATGGCGCAGGTCATGGTGGGTTCGGTGGGCTGGAGGTCCTGGAGGAACTGCCACCACCATAGGTCCTACCACCAAAGATGCTGGTGGGGCAGCTGGTAGGGCTGCAGTCTCGGTTTGGTCCCCTGCAGGTGCAGGGCCTGCTGTGTTGACACTGGCTGGCTGGGGCTGTAGGAGCACAGGGAGAGAGAGGTTCATTTCCTTAGGCAAGATCGTTTCCTCCTCTCAGACAGGGTTCCCCAGGAGTCTGGGTTGTACCCAGCTCTATCTTCTCAAAGTAGTGACTGTTAGTTGGGAAGAATATAGTTAAAAAGAACTGCTAAGACACTCAGGACCCTCACAGGAAGAGGCTACTGGTCCGTGGGGCTCCAGTTTCACTGGTGTTACCATAGTCCCAGTAGACTTCCACAAACACAGACCCATACACAAGCACCCCACCCGTAGAAAACCTTCACCCTTTGCCATGAGTACCTGGGAGCTGCCAACCAGAGCAGCCCACTTGCTCTCTGTGGTCTCTGTAACTAGGAAAAGCACATCCACCTTTTACAGACAATAGGGTGGCTTTGCCAACTACACACCAGGACTGTTCTCCCCTGTAGCCACCGGAGCAGAGGAGGGAAACACAGCTGATGCATGCCTCACCCAGTTGGTGAGTTCTCATACTGTGCTGTTCCATCCCACACTGAGGCTCAGGACAGGACAGCAAGTGTCCCATTGTTGCTAATCCCCGACTGAAGTGTGAAGGGGCCACTGTCTGAGAAAGATCCATGAAGTTACCTGTTTTTGGAAAACTTTGCAGGCCACTGAAACCTCTTCGCCACCGAGCCTTTGGACAAGACTTGCCTTGCAGAAGCCATATTGCTGTTTTCAGGAAGAAAGGGGTTATTTTTAAATGTTATAAAGATGGTTCTCCCCCAGTCAATTATAGTATAAAATTTTGAAGGAAAGAAACTTGAATTTCTAAATCTATTCTTTTAAATTTACCCTTTAAATTGATAATTTCTGGGCGACTTTCTCTTGAGAAACCACACACATGTCCTAAATAATGAAAGTCAGTCTTCCCCTCTCTCTTCCTCCCTCTCCTCTTCTTCTCTCTCCATACACATACCCACTTAAATCTTTCTTTAAAAATCTTACATTAACCCTAACTTTGCTTCAAATGAAACTTTTGGGTTTTGCTTATAAAACACATGGAATTCAATTCTACAAGTAAAACTGAATATATATAAACACTATGAAAGGGAGGACATGTGTCTGGTGTCCTTGAGATGATGGCGACACAGGGAGCGTCACCTGCTAACACAGGTGTGTGTGGGGTGTGTGTGAAATAAACTCTGTTAGATACAATTTAAGCTATGACCTGAGGTCATTTTGACTATGAGTTTGATGCTCCGTGTCTTCCAATTACTCTGGGGATGTTTTACTCACATCTGTCATTATTCGATACAATTTTCTGTTCACTTATGTGCCACACATTGTTCAGTGACTTACTCTGATCAAACACTGGGATCCTCCTTCTTTGTCCCATTAGTTACGGATGACTCATCATGTTTACAGGTATATTTTGGTCAAACACTTATGACACTCTGTTGAGTCTGAACCTCCACAAATAGATATGACTGGTTCAAAGACTCAGTGTTTCCAAGGGTTAAAGGCGTGTCTAGGAAATCTACTTCTTACCATCCAGCAGCTCCACACACCAGCAACCACATGTATCAGACTGCACTGGGAACTGGCTGCTGTCTTTCATCATGCTTCATGTGCTTCTCAGAGGCGAGATAGTTTGGTGACTACACTTAAAGGGGGAGGTGAGGCACCAGAAAAGACCTGGCATGGCCCAGCCCCATAGCAAGTGGGTTAGTGAATATTTAAAAAAATTAAGATTCGATCTGATTATTTTTAATTGTGTGTGTGTGTGTGTGTGTGTGTGTGTGTGTGTGTGTGTGTGTGTGTCCTGAGTACATCATGTGTTCAGGTACCTGCAAAGACCAGATGTGTCACAGCTGGATTTGAAGGCGAGTCAACTGACTGGGAATTGACCCGGGCCCTCTAGATGAACAGAAGTATGTGCACTTAACTGCTGAGCCATTTCTCCAGCCTCACAAGTGGACATTTTGCACTTCTTCTTCTTTTTTTTTTTTTTTTTTTAACTTTCTTCCTTCAAACCCAAGATGTAAACTGCAAAGAGATGCTTTGTTCCAGCCAAGTTTGCCTGGTAGCAGGAGCCCCAGGGTCTGGCCCACTTACCTTTTCTGCCAGCAGGTTGCATTTGGCTGGATCTGTAACCTCTTGAGCAGTACAGGTCAGTAGCAGCTACCACAAACTCCACAAAAGTAGAAACTGGGAGAGGCTGAGAATAAAAATGGAAACACATATGAGGCAAGATGATCTGGAATTGAGAGGGGCAAGAAGAAGTTGGAGGGAAGGAAGAAGGAGGGGAGAAGAGAGGGAGGGGAGAAGAGAGGGAGACAAAGGCCATGGTCTGGCATAGGTTAAGAGAACACAAATCACACAGACCATGTGTGTGGCCCTGGTCAGTTGAAGGGGTGTGTGCTGAAGTGTTTGAGCTGTGGAGGCAGGAGATGAGTTTTCTCAAAGGATTGGCAAGTATCCATCACTCAGGGCACAGGTTAAGTTTTCAGAGAGGAAACAGGAAGCCAAAAGCCAACTTTAGACAATCATGGATGGGAACCCAGCATATCCTGGCCCTCAACTATTGGTACCCAATATTTGGGTCATTCTGGGCTGGAGGGAGAAGTCAGTTTCATATAGCAGGATAAAAGGAGAAACAAACTAGATGAAAGAATGGAAGTCATTGCTTCCTTTCTCAGAATGCTTGGAGCCTTGCAAGCACAGTACATCTATTACTTGGTGTAGTATTGGGATGGGTATTCTTCAGGAATTATAGAATTACCACCCATATTAATGTATTTGCAAGTATGTCCTGACTGACTTCCAGGTTTCCAAGTTTCTTACACATCACAATTCTGCTGCATGCAAATAGTTAAACCTTTGTTGTACAGTTAGATTATCCCATCCAAGCTCCCGCATCTCTGGGCTTGAAAAGCAGATACGAACCTTCCATTATATGCCTGTCAGTATGAATAAGTCCATACCTTTGGCAGTGGATGTTACTGGTGGGTTGGTAAATGTGTGGCACCCACTGAATTTACTATGTCTGAACAGAGAGCCCTGCTGTTAAGTGTAAGTAGAGGAATGGAAGCTGCTCGTGTGGCTGACTTACATTGATGTGGCTCAGCTTGGGACAGTGCTGCTGAGAGTTTGGGGTTCCTCACAGTCCTAGGACCCTCCCCCAGCGTTTTCAACGAATGTCCCCTTGTCTTCTGGTTGTCATCCCCACATTCCCCAATGGCCACCAAACTGCCCAAATCTACCAAAAGAGTCTTAGATTTTTACCACATTTTGAGCTCTGGAAATCTCCACCAATTTAAAATAGGTTCCATTATTCTGTGCATTGAAGGCATCCAGGGCTGCTTTGACGGTGTGCACCACACTGGTGTCATTGAATGGAATCAGGATTGCACAACTTGGGCACACCTTATGCACATCCTCTGCAGAGTCTGAACAGAAAGAAGAACGGGATCTTAACTGCAGTTCACCAAGGCACTCACCACTGTTTGCTTACTTAGAAAGGGGTACACATGCTCCAAATGCAACAAGTCTTTTCTTTCAACCCTCAAGCTGCTGTGGGAAGCCTCATTAAGCCATAGCAATTAGGGCCAATGTTCACCCATAGGAAAAGCTCCTTTAAAAAATATGGTGTTAGAATCCCAAAACCCAGAATCCTGGACAATGAAGCAAGGATTATCTGAGTTCAAAACGAGTAGTTCCTTTCTCATTCTACAAGGTAGAAATAAGCAGAAGAATCATCTGACCTGGATTGGAATGGCACTGGCTGTGCATCACTGTGAACTGGCCATCTTGTTTCAGAACGTGGAAGTCACAGTCTCCCTCCACCGCCTAGGAAAGAAGAACCCTGTGCTGATGACCAGGAGCACTGCGCTTTGACTACTCATCTGGGAAGCGTCCTGGCAGGGCTGTGGGGGGCAGGGGGTAACCTGCTCAAGATCACCTTCACAGGTCGTACAATCTGCTTTCAGAGAGGGCTTCAAGAAGAAAGCTCAAGTGTTGCGAAAATCAACTCCCAGAAGGCACCGTCCAATAGCAGTTTTAGAAATTGTGCTCTGGCTAGCCAAGATGGCTGCCAGGAGTTGGCTCAGGTGGGGCTGCTCTTTGCTGAACCATGGTGGCCAGGCCCCATCCACCCATCATAAGGTAGCATACATAAACTGGTACTCACATGCTCGGTCAGCTGCCTCACAGAACAGTTGGCCAGGGGAGTGGGGTCCAGAACATGGCAGGTGGTCTCCAGGGTGTCTATCTCCAACTCATACACCACTCCGAAGGGCCGCTGTGGAGACAGAAGCAAGAGGTGAGCAAGCGCCAGCCCAGCCAGGGAGTCAGCTGGGCTGAAACCCTGGTAGGGCTTGTGTGGGGTGACTCTGGGAGAAGTGAGAAGGGGCCCCACTGGCCTCAACCCCCTCTATTTCTGCACTGCTGTTTTTTTGTCTTTCACTATAGATGGAGCAGATGTGACATGGGGACAGGAGGGTGGAGGGCCTGGGTGTCTGTCCTCATTCTGAGCTCCCTTTTTATGGGAGAAGTGGTGCCGAGGGCTACTTTGGACACTTTATTATCTTGCTATGTCTTTCCATCCCTCCCTCTGTTTCATCCTTTCTTCTCTCTAGTCGTCTACATTCCTCCTCTTCTCCCTGTTGGTTTTCTTTCCCTTAGAGGATGTTCTTGGCTTTCCCTATTTTCTGTCTTCTCAGGCCTCGGATGCACAGTGCTTCCTGCCTGTCTATTCTGAGGCCAGGAAACTGTCATCGCTAGTGTGGAAGCAATCTGGACAACTTGCACACCCTGTGAGGGTTGTTCAGTTACTCTCTCTGCCTGTTCATGTGTCCCTCTTTTCACATCTTGACAATGTCTCAATTTTTGGATACTCTCAGCCCAGCTCAGTTTACCTCTCCCTTCAGCTGTGCCCAAGACCTCAGCACTGCCAGGAATAGAAGCACCAAGTACAGGGATGTCCCAAACGACTCCCTGGAGACAGAGCTAGCTTCCTGCTGCACGTGGGAGTCCCAAGGAAAGCTGTCCTCAATCTCTGCTTAATGTGCAATGCTCTCCTGTGACTTTCCCTCCAATATGCATACTGCATGTTATTCTGCACAGATATCCTTATTATGCCTTTCACTGCAGTACTCTTAAAATTCACCCAGGAAAACCATAGTTTCAAATCAGCTATCCCTTTGCAATACTGGACGTCATTCCTCAATCTGAGAACCCTGATGTTTACTTTATTTTCCCTGCTAAATCACAAGCCTCTTGTAACACAAACCTACCTTCCCACTTTTATGTTAAGCTGAACCATATGGAATTTCCATACTTTTGTATGTCAAAAGCAGATAAATATTGGAGATTTTATGGTTTCAACGTGCTAGTGCCCATAGCATCTGACATCTGTTGTAGAACAACATGACTACCACACAGGGAAAGGGAACAGGAACGGGAAGGGAGGGCTTAATGAAATGGTCTGTGTTAAAGAGCTGTCACACATAAGCACTGGTCAAATGCCACTTCCTATTTTTATCAGAGATAAAATAGAAGCCAAAGAAAGATATGTGATTTTCAAATCAGCAAAGTGGGAGCCCAAGTTTTCCCAGCAAGTCCGACTTTCCACCTGTGGTCTGTGAACTGTCCTTGAGTCCTTTCTTCTTCCCACATGGAGCATCCTCTGTGAGATTTGTGACTACAGTATGGATGTGGCCTCTCATGCTCTCCCACTTTACCATATCCTGTTTCTGGAAGGAGACTAGTCTCTGCCACGGTTTTAGCAACACCAGGAGATGCTAGCTTTTGAGGCACAGGATTGTGCCCCAAACACAGCTCAGTCATGGTAGGCTCACTTACCCGATTCCACATCTTGACTTTGTCAATCTGATTCAAGATGTGCTTGAATCCATGAAGGAGATGTTGATTGAGGTAGTCCACGGCAACCAAAGCTACTTGTTCCACTTCTGGGTCGTCACAAGCCACTTCTTTAAAACTCATCCCTGTAATGTGTGGAGCTGATTGGCAGCCCCAGAGCTGAGCTAAACAAAGGAGCAGAACCAGGGACTTCATGGCTGCTCCAGAACACAGTAGAAGATGGACAGATGTGAGAACTGGCCCAGATAATCAGCTTGGAGAGCTAGACCAATGGAGGGGGAGAGGGCTTTATTTATCTGAGAGAGCCTGCAGAAGGAATTGCGTAAGGGCATGGGATGATTTTTGTTCTTGTTCCAAATAACCCTGTAAACACCAGCCCTGGAAAAGCAAATAGGTTAGGACATCAGCCATCCCCAGTAAATCTGCCAAAGTCAATGCTGCTGTGGGGGGAAGATGTTCCAAAGTCTGCTTGGAACACAGTGATAACAGCAGAGAGAGGGGGCAGCTGAGGAAGTACAGTTGGGGTGGCAGCAGAGGAAGAGTTATCTACCCGAATATGAGTAGGCTATGGCACCCATGATGGGAAGGGCACTATGTAGTAATCTGATAAATCTTTTAATGGTGGTGATAGATCCCTTTCAGGAAGAAACAGTGAGCCATGGGAGATGGCAGGTCTTCGGTAAGAAGAACGGAGTTCTTATGGCAGGGACGGGTATGACCAGCAGAGCTGTATGGATCCCCCTCCCCACTTCCTGCAGATGTCACCACCAGGGCCTGCCTGTGACTTCTGGATAGCTGTTTGGCACCAACAGTACTGTGGTGCCAGCCAGGGCACAAATCACAAATGCAGTGTAGTAGTATTCTGGTCTACTATGAGCCCCTGGCTGGGTTGGACCCTGGTATTCCAGGCAAGGGCAGTTATGAACACACTTGTCTACTTCAAGGGCAAATATGAACACACTTGTCTACTGCAAGATCAATTATGAATACACTCGATTGCACTATCCTTTCTGCAGCTGGAACAAGCTGATAGTGTATCTGTGGCTTTTGACAGCCCCAGACGACATGACCCACAGGGAGTATGGGCAGGACAGTGACAGGTTTCAGACATGCCATGCAAGGACCCAGAGCAAAGAAACCTTCCCACAGAGGCCATTTCAAATGCTGAGAGTCAGTGTCCTGTTTGGGAGGGCTTGCCCTGTGATTTGATGTTGCCTCGAGGGGAAAAACTTGTTACAGAAGAAGAAAAAGAGAAAACCCCTGTAGGAAATCTTAAAGGCATCAACTTGTAGGGGATAGAATGTGTGTGGTTGGTGAGGGAGGGGTGATAGGGAAGAGGCAGTGGCTGAGATGGCCCATTTTACATTTGCTTTCAACTATGCAAGCATGTACAGAACTGAATGGGAACTCTGGGTCCTCTGGGGGTGGGATCATAACTCTCAGAGACATCTAGCTACTCATCTAGAAGAGCCAACATCCCATTAACTATGTGTGATCTTAATTAAGGACATGACATAGGAGCTCTTTGGGAGGGCTAGGTTTTTCCTTAAAAATACTTAGTCTGAACATTACTGATGATTTGGAAACCGAGGAGTAATTAATAAGTTACAGGCTTGGGCATATAAACCACAACTTTAGCCTCCACAGCTCAATTGAGTTTTTGATTTAGAACCATCTTTTGTGCAAACCTAATCTATTCTCTTTCACACAACCCAGTTCTCAGACCCTTGGATAGAAACTTATCCTGTTTAATGTCATTTGTTCCCTGTTGGGGTTAGAATAGCGGGGAGTGAAGAGGGATAATTTATGGTAGTATTTTGTAAGTCAGAGGTGAAGGTGTGTACACCTCTGCTTGCTCTGTAAGACCCTGTCCTGGAGCTTTCTGCCAGGTAAACCTGCATCATCTTTAATGCAGGCTCTATACCTGTGAGCAGCATGCTCCTTCTCTCTGCTTTCACCCATGACACACAGCCACCTGTCAGCTCCAGCCACCTGGAGCTCCCTATCCCAGCCACTAGAGCCTTTCAGGTCTTCCCTCAGCTCCTCCTTTACACCCAGAGCAATGTGGCTTCTATGTTCATAAGAAGAATGGGGAAGTTTTAAATAGCAGCTTTCATGCCCACCTGCATGGGCACCCCTGAAGTCACAGCCTGCCACTCAGGGGCATCTCCCAGTGCGCACCTGTGTGCCTGGGAAGAGATCTAAAGTCTACTAAAATATGATTTTGCATGAAGAAAAAGACAAGGTGGCAACGTACCAAACAGTAACACTGTTTGTAGCATAAGCTAGCGGTTGACTATCACCCAGGGATGCAGGGAAAGAAGAGGAAGAAATTGCTCTTAACTACGTGCCTCATTTTCCTAGATCAAATTGAATGTACAGCTGTTTATTTTTTTTCCATTTGCATTATAACATGAATGTTGTTCCACGCTATTAAAGAGACTTAAAAGCATGTTTGTGAGGACATCGTGTGGTTCTGTTGTGTCCCTGTGTTATTTTAATGGCTCTATGCACTTTTCCCCCTGAGCACTCATGTTGCTATAAGGCAACAGTGTTCTGTGCTCACACTAAATACAATGCAGCATGGTAAAGCTTGCTGAGGGAAACTGGTTCTAAGCATCAGGATTGAGATTCCTAAGGTGTCAGCAGGGTAGTAGGCAGAGCTAACGATGACACAGACCTCAGGACAGAAGTTAGGGATGGTATCAGGGCCTCTATGTGTCACCAGGGAGTCATTCAACTAGGTGCTATGCTTGAATCATTCCAACACAGAGTTTAGTATTTAAACCAGGCCTGGTGACAGAACTCTGTTAATCCTAATCTTAGCTACTAGGGAGGCCGAGGCAGAAAGATTACACATTAAAGGCCAGCATGGGCTACAGAGTGAGTTAATTGTCACACTGTTCGGAACTTAATGTGATTCTGGGGGAGAAAGAAAGGAAGGAGCTGGGCACATAGTTCAATGGTAGAACATTTGCTTAGCATGGAACAAAATCCTGGGTTCAATCCCTAGTTATAAAAGGGAGAGGAGAGAAGATGAGGAGCTAGATAGCTATATAGAGGATGGATAGATGAGAATTCAATATTTACAGCTGTGAGATATGGCCTGGTATAAATCCAGGGCTAGAGTTTTCAGAGGTCTGCCCGGGGCCTCAGTATAGAAAGGTAGTTCTAGGAGGGGGTGAAATACCCAAGTGAGGCAGGGGGATAGTTAGAAATATAGCTCACAAACCAGAGCATGAATGTGAGTATGCCAGCAAAAGCCAGGAGACTGATTAGCTGCCATGGGGAATCAGTGTTGGGTTAATCATGGGTCAGCCATTTGTCTTGCCTTTTATGGTTCCTAAAGGGCCAAAGCACCACGAAGCACTTTAACTTCTGATAAACATGATATTTCTTCCCTCCTATGTTCAAAGAACAAACATTTTTGAGAAGGCATACACTATCTATGAAGTTAGGTGCCTGGACACAGAGGGAGGAGAAGACATTGTGCATCCTGAATGTTCTCTGCCATGGTACTGGGCTCAGCAACATTTGATCTGCTAGAAACCATAGGTTATTGAACAAAATCATTGTGCTGTTAGTGCATGCATTATTATACATAGTGAGAGTGGGTTTTAGTTCTCCGACATAAAACATCAACCAACAGGATGCCAGTTAGCCTTTATCCCAGGGTCCATCAGGTATCTAGGGAAGGTAATTCAGCACCAGTTGCTTCAGAAGAAACTGCTCAGTTACCTGAAGAGCCCTTTACATTCAATGCCGGCGTGCCACAGGTGGATACACGGGCCTGACCACAGAGGCAAAGTATTTAAAGCCAGTGATCTGGCCCTAATGATCACATTGGGTCTGCAGCTCTGCATGGAAAAGAAGGCTGCATGAGGACATGTGAGGAGAGCAGCGTCAGACTGAACGGAGGCAAGGGAGACATGAAGGTACCAGGTTTAAGGAGGTGCTACCCAGGGATTGCTCCCCTTCACTTCTGAGCTACAGGCTCTTCCTTCCTCTCTGGCCTTAGTGAAGAGGCAGGGTGTGCATACAGAGCAGCATAACACCCTCTGGATCTCAACAGATCTTTCTTCATTTCTCCCTTCTTTCTTTTTTCCCAAGGGGCACTGTCATTGTCACCACCACTGCTGCTGTCTGTAGCTGGTGAGCAGGTGAGCCTGGTCCCAGCAACACCATGATTCATGCAGCTGGTTGTACCTGACCCCAGAAGAAATGGCAGGAGTCTCCATTCTCTTTTGTTTGGAAGAAGGCTTTCTACTCAGAGTGGCCTTGATGCCTAGCACATGCTCCAGCTCACAAGGAAGGAAGGAAGGAAGGAAAGAAGGAAGGGAGGGAGGGAGGCAGGCAGGCAGGAAGAATGGAAGGAATGAAGGAAGGAAGGAAAGAAGGGAGGGAGGGAGGGAAGGAGGCAGGCAGGCAGGCAGGAAGAATGGAAGGAAGGAAGGAAGGAAGGAAGGAAGGAAGGAAAGAAGGGAGGGAGGGAGGGAGGCAGGCAGGCAGGCAGGAAGAATGGAAGGAAGGAAGGAAGGAAGGAAGGAAGAAAGGAAGGAAAGAAGGAAAGAAGGGAGGGAGGGAGGGAAGGAGGGAAGCAGGCAGGAAGGAAGGAAAAATGGAAGGAAGAAAGGAAGGAAGGAAGGAAAGAAGGAAGGAAGGAAGGAAAGAAGGAAAGAAGGGAGGCAGGCAGGCAGTTAGTTTAGGGTCAAAAAATGAGCTGTGAGGCTGCAGAGGAAGGCATCTCACAGCCACAGGCAGCCAGCATCCTCTCTTTCCTCATTTAGGAGACAAAGGAGAGTTGTGCTGTTTCTACCCTCCCTTTACACCAGAAGAAGCAGAGGCTCAGGGAGGTTCTAGAACCTGATCTTGCTGACACATCAAAAAAGGAGAGCCTGGATTTAGCCCACTCATGTTGCCTTACTAGTAATCTTAAAACAGAAGGCTCTAGAGCCCAATGGAAGCTGGAGCTTTGGCTCCTGGTCACTACTGATCAGCTAGCAATTTCTTAGCACGGCTTTAAGGATGGGGGAGGCTAAAGGAATATAAAAGTTCAGTGAGTTTGGTTAACAGTGGAAAGAGGTTGAGTTTGCCCACATAATCTAAGTCAGAAAAAAAATAGAAATAATTTTTTTTCCCTAAAAAAATAAAAGCCTCTATAAACTTTAGTAATGACTTGGATGGTATTGACATTGTCTCAACTTCAGGTTTAGAAGGTAAATAAG